TCGAACAATTCGACACCTGCAGTTCATGAAATTATTCCAACACTGTGCACGCAACATTTAGATAAAATATTTCGCTATTGCTTAAATCAGAGACGACTATCACGATTGCATCAGACAAGTTTTTGAAATCAATCTGAGAGCGAACAGTAGCAAACAACCATCTTAAACATATAAAGAATCCCGAGATTTGAGATATCGATATTTTTAAGCAAATATTCGGGAGATATCGAGTAGATTGTAGACTATATAGAGGTATCCATACAATATCACTCCCTACATTAACTAAACGCGAGTGACTTGTAACTTGGGCAATTTCTTGTTAACCATTCTCAGAAAATCTTTGTGCAATCTTATCTTGTCCTTTTCTCTTTTTTTCATTTAACTATGAGTATAAATAGAAAATGAAATATTAATAAATTATTAAGTGAAAGATTCATGGAAAGAATGGAATGTATATCGAGAAAATTATCTTGTTGAAAAAAATTGATGGAATTGTCTTACTGAACTTTAAATATCAGACTAAAATTAGACAACAAAAATGCAGTAAAATTGTTGTCGTTACATTCATTTTTGTTTGATATTCTTGCTTTCCTAAAGTAGATACTATCATCTTCCCAATAGCCTATCTTTACCTATTAAAAGTACTTTAAATCTATCTAATCTAATCTAAAATCGCGTGTTTACGCATTCCTCTCTTGTTTGATGAAAAATACATTATTTCCATTTAGCAATAAAGTGTGAACAACGCTTTATTATAAACTAGCGACTGGCGAACATTGCAAATTCATTATTTCGTGAAAATCAAATTCAGTTTGATCACCGTTTAATTATATTGCAATCACGTAAATCTCGATTATTTTGGGGCAATCACCGAACAACACTCACCTTTAGAAAGTTGAAATCATTTGATCATAATAAATAAAGAAACATCTACTCTACATCTTCATATATCATCTTTTATAGCGTTCAGTTATTAAAATAAATAAAGTAAATTACTTTCACTGGATTACATATAGAAATGGAGTAAAAATCGTCCAATCATCGTTCACGATAAATAGTAAAATAAAAACAAATTATACGATGACGTATAAATCAAATAATTTTTTCCACTATTTGCACATATTCAAAAGTTGTTAATCAATTAGAGGAAACTGGTTCAGACTGTGTAAATTAGAATCTCGTTCAAGTCTTGTTTGTCTCACTCAGTCAGAAACATCACGTGGAATGACACTTGTGTGCATTAGCAATCAGTGCCAGAAACGTTCGATATGAAGACTGCAAATATAATATAACCGTGTAGTGTATAATCAAAAATAATATCAAGTAACTAATAAATCATGAATAATATCGAATACAATGAAAAAGGAAACGTATTACAATGTATACTTTATTTCAGGAGTTGAATAGGCACGTGTATCCACTTATACCTACAATTTCTCTGAATTTCCTTTTCCACGTGTTTTACCCGTAGACTCCCACACAGAGTTTTATTTACAACAGAGATATCTTGTAACCGTAAGAATGGTTTTCAAAGAAAATTTTAAATTTAGTATAAATTTACAGAGTCCAGAAATATCTCGTCTACGACAAAACCTCTTGCCTCTGTACAAAAACTTGATCGTAATCAATAAAGCTGTACTTGTAATTACGGACAAATAGTTTATATTATTTGCTATAATTAATAATTGTATCACATACTGTGACGCAATTAATCATTATATATATCAAATATAATAATACGATTGTCCAAATATGCTGCAAATGAACCCCCCCCCCCCCATTCGTGATTTTATCTGATTCCCTTTCACGTAAAAATTTATTTAATTCCATACAAATTAGCAAATCATTATGCACAATATACAAATGGTAAAAAAATTTTTAAAGAACAAAATAATTGAAACAACTACAAAAATACTGCAACACTTTTAAAATAAATTTAATAAAAACTATTACGTCTGTCATGAAAGAAAAAAAAAAACTACTTCAATTATCAATATTGTAAAATTAGTTAAAAATTAATATCCTCCCAATTCGATTTTACCAATGATAAATTTTATATCATTTATAATGAAGAATGCAAATCGCGATATTTTACAATTCGAAACACTAAAACAGACACGATCATCATTGCACCGCAACTCTAATGCAAATTGTATTTAATTTCTTGAAATATTAATGGAAAGAGCCACGATCCCCAATATCTTGAAGAGCTGATACATATATCAGCCAAAAAAAAAAACCAACTACAACTACATACTACAGATGCTAAAAAAAAAGACGAGCATAGTGACAAAGTAGTAATGAGAATGACTTCCCATGCTCTGAATGGATTTCCGATCCAGAGAATGGGAAACCATTAATAGTTGCCCTCTTGAGTGGCAGTTTGCCGGGCCTCTTCGGCTTCTAGCCTCTTCTTTCTTCGGGCGCGATGCCCGCTGAAACTTAAACCTAAGCTCGAGTGTCTTTCGATTCGCAAAACAAAACATAACTTTAAAAAGTACAATAAAATAGAAAGACCTGCTCGAGCAATAACGTTCGTTTCGCCTAGATCTACTCGCGACCACGACCGCGAAATTCAAAAAATCGTTGGATAAAGCTAGAGACGAGGCATTAATGATTCACTCGTGCCCTGCTGCATCTTCGATTTTCGAATTAGATTTCCAGAAACAGGTTGAACACGCGAAAAGGATACGCGACCACAAACTGTGCCAACCTGCCCGGCCCTACCTACTTATTAAATAAATACAAGCACACCAGAAAATAAGCTACCTATCCTATCCAGCCGCCCTATATTTAAAAATTGGCAAAACACAGGCATACCAACACACTC